CACTGCCATAGAGTAAACAATTTGGAATGAAATTAAAGAACAACGTTCTTGTTTGAGGTCTTGGAGTCCACAAAAACTGTCCACCAGTTCCCATCTCTCCTCACCTGGAGGTGTGCGGCAAGCTCCCTTGATACACCTGCTCGGAGGGCAGTACATTGCCACAACGTGGGCTCATGGGTAGGGCCTGTGAGCTGACACTGACAACAGCTTCCCAATCTTCTGTGGACTGAGGAGAAGATACAACACGTTTAAAGCCACGATTCCAGAGTAAATAATGCCCTCTCAAATTCCCACACAGAATGGAGATCCTTCTTGAGAGCTTTCTTTCTTTAAAACAGCTCCATATCTCTTTCTGACTCTAAAAGGGTTCATGAGGCCAAATGTATCAGAGAACAATTCAGTAATCACAAAATTAAACCCAGAGTTTAAAACCCAGAAAAGGGTAGGCTTGGTTTAAAAACCACTAAAACCCGAGCAAAGCATTTATTACTGTCATAGCCCTTCTTTTTGTAAAGGAGATCTTGGTGATGCATACGGAGTCTTACTCCACATTATCCTGGTAACAATCTACCTGTGAAACAGATTTTGCTGAAAAAGTGGCTGGCCCAAAGTCATGCAGTGAATTCCATAACTGAGTATGGACTTGAACCTAGGTCTCCTTTGCCCCAATGTAACAATCTAATATGTTCCCTACACTGGCTTTCTATGGTTTACATATGTTCTCACTGCTTGCATAACTACCATCAGAGCCAGTCTGGTGTAGTGGTGAAGGCACCAGGATAGGAACCGGGAGACTGGGAGTTCTAGTTCTGCCTGAGGCACAAAGCCAGCTGGGGGACCTTGGGCCAGTCCCTCTCTCTCAGCCCTAGGAAGAAGAAGGAGGCAAGGGCAAACCACTTCCAAAATATTGCCAAGAAAACTGCAGGGACTTATCCAAGCAGTTGCCAGGAGTCAACACTGATTTGAAGGCACCAAAACAAAACAAAAACTATCATCAAGGATGGGGCTAAACTCATCTCATTTGAGAGAGATTTCCACAGTGAGAGTACCACCAATGAAAGACTCCTATCTTGCATTCCTGCCAATGAAAGGTCTTCTACTGATAGGAAGACTAAGGCTTTGGCTTGGTTTTCATAACTTTGTAGTAATGCATAGACTCCCCGCTTCCTAAGTATGAACTGAAAGAGTGGAGAACTCTTTCTTTCTATAGCCATTGATTCATTCTGTTTCTTTTGAAGGGCTGGCGATGATGCAGATCTGTGCTTAAGAATTATAAGACCTAAGTTGAGAAGATGCTACTGCAGATCTATCCCTTAATCTTGACCTCTTGACCTAATAATGACCTTCCAATATGTATTTATGAAAAGCATGAGAATAGATGATTAAAGCAATTGTATTATAAAAATGAATATGCTTTTTAATTTCCCCCAGAATGATTTGTTACTTATTCTAATTAATCATTCTTGCTTCTACGCGTGTGTGCAAGATAACTTCAGGACTTTGGCCATCAAAGGCCCCACCCTTCTTCCCTCCAACAACTTCCACCCACCTCAGGCTCATAGCGGAACAAGATGTCATATTCCATTGGGTAAGGAATGTTCTCAATGTGGAAGGATAGTCCAGCCCCATCTCGTACACGGGCAAAGCCTGGGCCTGTCCATGTAATCATATGGCCTGTGTGCTCACGCCGTACAACTTCCACATCAGGCTGTAGGTAAAAATGCAGTGTCAGCAAAGCCAGGGTACCAGTGTTTCTCGCCCCCACCCTTCTGGCCTCTCCTTGAGCGTGTTTTTAGCAACTGGAATTGCAAGTGGAAGCAGCCTGTTGAGAAAGCCCTCCCACACTATACCACTAAGCTACGGCTGGACATTTCCAGCCAAGCCACATGCCAGACTTCAGTGATAGGAAACCACAAATCTCAATCTGTCTTTAGATCACCACAGAGAAGCACAGTGGGTTTAAGTTTTTTTTGTTGTTAATCTTTTAACTTAATAAAATTCAAAACTCATCAATTTCCAGGCACTCTCTCTCACCTCTCCAATCAATCAATCAATCAATCAATCTCTATCTATCTATCTATCTATCTATCTATCTATCTA